CCCCCAGACCCAGGCGTTGTCTTCTTTAACTCTGAGGATCAGTCACCTCCTCCCAGCTCCCTGGGTCCTCGTCTCTGTCCTTGACCTCACCGAGTCCTTCTCAAGCAGCGGCCAGAAGCGTCCTGTTCAGGTGATTGTGAGGTCATGCCCTCCCCCCTCGTCAAAACCCTGCAGGAGGCGCTGCGCCCTGCTTCCCCCAAACCTCCGACTCTCCTGACAGCCACTAGGCCTCCCTGCTGCTCTGCTCCGGGGCCACTCGACCCCCGTGTTCCTTGTGCCCCAACTTCATCCCACAAGGCACCTCCCCAAGACGTTTCCTGACTTAACAAGCCCCTCAGCGGTCCCCCATGTTCGACGGTAATGCCGTTGTTAGGTGCCGTTGAGTCCGATCCAGCTCAGAGCAGCCCCTGTGCGACAGAAGACACTGCCAGCCTGCACCAGCCTCGCAATCACTGCTGGGTTTGAACCACTGTGGCAGCCACTGTGGTCACACATCGTGTTGTCTTCCCCTTTTTCTCTGACCCTCCACTCTTCCAAGCATATTCTCCTTCTCCAGGGACCAGTCCCTCCTGATGACATGTCCAAAGTACATGACACAGTGTGTCACTATCCTCACCTCTAAGAAGCATTCTGGCCGTACTTCATCTAACACAGATTGGGCTGTTCTCTGGCGGTCTGGAGTATGGTCAATATTCTTTGCCAACACCATGTTTAAAGGCATCGATTCTTCTTCAGTCTTCCTTATTTTATACTTATCCTATAGTAAAAGAAAGGGGCTCTGGTGTTCTAGTGCTTAAGGCATTTGGCTGCTAACCAGAAGGTCAATGCTTCAAACCCACCAGCCACTCACCGGAAGAAAGACGAAGCAATCTGCTTCCCTAGAGATGTACAGCCTTGGAAACCCAATGGGGGTTGCTATGAGTCAGAACTGGCTCACTGGCGGTGAGTTTGGTGTTTTGAGTTTTATAGTAATAGAACCCCATTTTCCACCAGGTGCATGGCTTCCCAGAATTGAGGTGCTAGATAAAATACAGGACATTTTAATTTAAATTTCAGAAAAACAAATAATTGTTAATATAAGCATGTCCCAAGTATTGCATGGGACATATTGATACAAAAAACAGCATTTGAGCCAAGCCTAGAACAAAAGCTGCATTCCCAGCCTCCCTTGCAGCTAGGCATGGTCACAGCTGAGGCTGCCCAAGGCCATGCCCTTGAAGGGTCTGTAACAAGGGAGTCTGCCCTCCTGTCACTTCAGGGGGAGGAGAAGAATCACCATCAGTTCAAGGCTGACCCCTGTGGGTGGAGGTCAGACAAGCCACCACCCTCCAACGTTTTCACCCGTTCTGATACCAACCGTCCCTCCCACAGCACTCTCCACTTCTCTGTTGGGTTCAGTGATTCGTGGCAGCAGCCACACAGAACTCACAGACAATCCTCACAATTACGGTGTTTATTAGGGAAGGGACAGGTTATAATTCAGCTTCAGGAATGACTCAGGACACAGTTCTTTGATCCAGACACTTCTCGGCCCACAGGCAGCTCTCTCCCTGGTCCCTGCCCCACTCGGGCAAGTTGTGCAAAGCTCCTCAGCTCCTGCGATAAGGGTCGGAAGGCGCCCTTCTCCACCAGCCAGCCTCCTGCCTGAAGGCACTCAGCCCTCACTTCACGGGCCGAGAAGCCCACCACGCTGTCTTGCACTGGTCTCCCAGCTCTGCAGTCACTGTTTCTCTGCCACTGCTTCTGTCTGGCTCAAGGTACCGCTCTGTCTCCTGGGTCTAGGAGGTTCCCAGCACAGAGACCCCTGGTCCAAGGACTCCCTCCAGTCCCACTCTCCTTCTTGGTGGGAGTCAGGTCTCCCCTCTTCACCTCTGGGACGGCAGGATGGCAAAACTGACCCATCCCCTTGGTATGGTTCCACACACCTTATTTGCATGGTCCCACCCCCACAATAGTATTATTAGCAAGCTGTCCAATCCCTTGGTATGCCACAAGCACCTTATTTGCATAAGGTATTTGCACTATGATAGTTAGAGCTGTGTGTCAATTTGACTGGACCATAATCCTGAGTGGTTTAAGCAATTGTGATGTGGGTTATTCCCATGATGAGATCAGATGTATATGTTTTGAGCAGTCAATCCATTGAAAGGGAGTTTCCCTGGGGGGTGTGGTCTGCTTCCGGTGTATTTATGGACATCCTGGGAAAAGAGATACTCTTCTGTGGATCGGGATTCTGTTGTGCTGCCTACAACTGTCCGTGAGCAAACAAGCCACCATTCAGCCTGGAGATCTAGGATTAGTCATTCATTGGAGTCAACAGCCGGTATATTTCCTGCCAACCTTGAGCTCCTCAGCCCCTGCAGCTGCGAGAGTCGGGAAAAGCCTCCAGCTTGACGTTTGATCCAAGAACTTGGGACTTGCCAGCTTCTATGTGTGTGAGCCATTTTCCTAAGATATTTTTTTTTCTCTCTCTCTCTCTATCTATATATATCAGCTTTACTGGTTTTGCGTCTCTAAAGAACCCAGCCTAACACACCCACCCAACCTTTTGATGAAAGCTTCAAGACCACAGCTAGAAAGACCGTATAAAAGTGATCCTCACACTGCAGGGCTAAGTGGGCACCTGCCTCACCACCCCACCCTCGGCTGAACCACAGACCAGAGGAGCCAGGTCCCTGC